CACACACACACACACACACACACACTGGTCAAACTAAATGACACTATAAGTACGTTAGTCTGTCACATCTGTTCAGTTACCCACTAATGTCAATTTCTAATCAACCAATCACGTGGAAGCAGCTCAGTGGATTCAGGCGTGTGGGTGTGGCCAACCTGCTCTGACTTCAGATCAAAGCCAGGATCAGGAGATAGGGAAGAAGGGCGATTTCAGGGGACTTTGAACTTGTCATGGCTGTTGGTCTGAGTATGACAGAAACTGCAGATCTGCGGGGATTTTCCTGCACCTCCATCTCTGGGGTTACAGAGTACAGTCCAAAAAGACAGAATATCCACTGAGCAGCAGTTCTCTGGGTGAAAATCCCTTGTTGATGCCTGAGGAAAATAGCCAGACTGCTTTGAGCTGATAGGAAGGCAACTGCTCTTCTTCTTGTGGCTGTTTCCACAGCGAGTCATCTGACTCCATCTTACCCAATCCCTCCTCTGTCACACCAACCCTCTGTAAGTCCTTCACTACATCCACATCTGTGGTCTTTCTCTTTCCCTCCTACCTGTAAGCTCCATATCCAACATCCTTTGACCAGTATGTGCACTATTGCTTCTTTGGCCTTGTGTAAACCATGTCCATTTTCAAATCTTCCTCGCCTCTCTTACTTTGTCTCCAAACTCAACCTGAGCTGTGTTATTTCCAGTCCTGTCCATCCTGGTCACGCCCAATGAAAATCTAAGTATCAAAAGCTTACCTGCCGATTGAGAAATCAAACCTCAGCTCGCTCCTGCAGGGATAGAAAGGCCACAATCACACAGAAGAGCATCTCTGAATGCAGAACATATCAGATCTTGAACGAGAACACCACATCCAGTCTTCATTGCTGCTGTGTCATTTAGATGTTCGGGTTAAAATTCTGTGTAAACTACATAAAAGTTTAGATTCAACCTGCCTGGTATCAGTGGTTCAGACTACTGGTGTGATGGTGTGAAGGACAGTTTCTTGGCACACTTTGGGCTCCTTACTGAGCATCATTCAAATATAACAGCCTTCCCGAGAATTGTCCAACCTTTTTGACCACAGTGTACCTGCTGATGGAGGCTTCCAGGAGGATTTACAGTTTACAGTACTCAAATTACCTCCACATTGAGAACATCTCAGTCCAGTAGAGCACCTTTGGGATGTGGAGGAACAGGAGATTCACATGATGGATGTGCAGCTAACAAATCTCCAACATCAGAGGAGTCATCGTTGATGAAGGATTAATGCCGTTTTAAAAGCATGGGGCCATACCAGGAATGCTTAACAAATAAAGTGGCCAGTTAATGTACTGCTCGTTATGTTACATCTAATCATTACTCGGAGTATTAAGTCTTCTTACACTGATGTAAGGGCACTGCTGCTACTACAGATAAACACACAGTGTGTTTGAATCATTTCTGGAAAGTCTATTTTCACTCCGATTACTAACAGATACATTTACACAGATACTAACAGCACTTGGTGCTGATGCAGTTGATGTGTTATGGGACCCCATAGACCCTAATCTGTCAACTTGTTACTGCTATTAGTCACATACATACACACATGTTTTCACACATCAGCTTACTAAAATAAGACAGTGTAGAGATGCAGTAAAGAGAAGAACCCTGTCAATACCTTTAAAGCACTCCCAAGATAATCTACAAAATAAAGCCAAATAACTCATCACAGCAGTCCGCTCTGAGAGATCACACACTAAGGCTCTGGTTGTTATCTGAGGACTTGCAAAGAGTGCACAGGAGGCTTTTCTACAATGAACAATAATCTGCTTAAAATGTTGTGCTTATGATAGTCATTTTATAATCTAATGAAACACTTCTGTCGCAGTCTGTTGGTCCGAGTAAGAAAAGCACAGCGGCGATACATTAACCATAAACACACACGCAGAAAAGCCATTCGGTTTGTTTCGGAGATGAAATTCAAGATGAAACCTCATCCTCATTAGTCACAGATTTCGGCAAAACAAGCCTGATATGAAGCCATTTAAGTCACGGGATGCTTTTTCATCTCCAAAGTAAAGCACTGCCCACACACAGCGATGGTCCACAGACATAACTGAGAGTATACTTACAGAGAACATTTATCGTCCCTTCCAAGAACTTTAATGGCCTTTCTACCCAAATTAGGCAATAACAATGCTATCAGTGGTACAAAGGCCCTATCACTGCACAGCATTTCATCTCCTCCCCTCTTCAGAAGATGTTCCCATTAGAAGGAAAGAAAACCTAATCATATTCTTCTGCAAGCTTTCTTTAATGGGATCCTATTAGATTTCCTGATAGAGGCCCCTCACTCCTAATACTACAGTCAATTTGCTGCTCCCATTTAGTCAAGCTGGCCTGTCTCTGATGATACCACCATCAGCTATTATATATGCAACAGAAAGAAAAAGATGGGTTTGCACACATTAAAGAAAGAGCTTTAATAAGTGAACATGCTCGCCTGTGCTTGCAATAAGCTAAATTCTTCTCCTTTGAAGGGTCATTTCTGACTGAGAAAGATGATGCTAAAGTTGGCGCGTGAGGTGGAGGTAGATTTCTCTCAGGAAAGAAAAGAGATGGATAAACAGTGAGAGGAAGTGATGTTTTCTCAGCAGATGCTGTGCAGTGAGAAGATCAGCTCCCCTGCCTTCCTCTCTGGCTCATACCACAGTCCCACATGTGCACAAACACACAGGATGATGGGCTTTCTGTGTGCACAAATAATCACAGAGTGCACATGCATGCACAGGAAGCATCTAGGTCAGGCGGGAAGATCAGTTCTTGGTCTGCATAGTCACGTCCTCTGATAAGAGGACCAGCTCTCTCTGGATTATTAAAGCCTATGAGGGTTGGACGGGAGCTTGTTGAGTGGAACTGAGTGCTCTTGTGAAGTTATGTGTGATGGATGGATTATCAGAGATGGTCTGAGGAGTGACAGACACAAAGATTTGTGATGATGGCAGTCCGTGTCACGTCAGGTCAGCGAGCCACAGCCTTTAAATACCTGATAAACTCAACCAAGTAAGAAATAGCATTAAATAATCACTGTTTATGAAGATTTATATGAACATATGCTTGTAAAACAGGATTTTATGTGTAAACTACATGCACCATAAGCTAAGATTAACTTAGTGAGTGGACTCAGCGGAGATAAAATAAATATTTACAATGAAACTTGTTTTTAATTTGTGGTCCATAAAATGCTTTTACAAACAAGATTCACGTTCCTATTTCTGTTTTTATGACAGGAAGAGACTATC